AAATAATATTCCAACAGCCTATAGTACAGGATGATATAGATATTAATAGGAAAAGAAATAAAACCCCATTACTACCTGCTAGAAAATCTTGTCATACTACTCCCGATGTTATCTTACTTCCTTCTACAATACCTATAACATCTTCAGACTTTCAATTACAAGGAGTCAAACGAACAGTTGATCATGTCGTCATTTCTACATATACATCTGAACCTGACATCGCTGAATTTCAAATACTTACATTACAAATAGAAGATGATATAGAAGAAGATATAAATAAAAATAATGCATGTGATGCATATATAGGAACATATTTAGCTGCTAAATTAGAACGCAAAAAGAGAAAAATCGATATTGATTATTTCAAAAAAGATTATCTTTCTCCAGCAAATCAAGGTATTAGGGAATGGTATATTCAAACTTTCCAACCTAGGTTAATAGAATTATTCCATCAAAAATATAATAAATTTTTTAAAAAAGAACGAGAAACAAAAGGATTTTTTATATGGTTACAGGAAATATGTACTCAATATAAAATAAACATTCCTCCATTTAATACTCTTCAGACCATAGAAGAAAAAACATATATTAGTACGGATGGTACTACTACTGCTAGTACACACCCTCCTGAAAAAAGTATAATACTCAAAGGTGCCATAACCCCATTAAGCAAAGGAGAACCACCACAATCTCTATATGATATTATTGCAACACCATATAAAGTCCTACCTAAAGAAATAGGTAAAAAATAGGAACTAATACCTAACAAAACAATTATACTAATTTATATATGCAATATTTAGGAAAACAAGCCGAACGTATAGAACGATTAGTTACTCCTCAAACTAAGGGAATAACTCCTAAAGCAGTTTTGTTTAAACCACCTCCAGAACTCAATAATCTTACAAGTTCTCAATTATCAGAGTTATTCATACGTATGACTCTGCTTGCCTGGGAAGCTACAGTATTCTTTATCATGTACACATGCTATCCAACAGGTGAATCATCGAGCATCTGAGCTTATTTTATTGTGACATTCAGATATGCATCCACTGAAAATTCAGTATTTGCTGAATATTCTGTAACACTTCCATCATATTAAGGAAAGAGAGTATCACTTTGTTGAACTCATTCCTCTACTCATAAATTTGGGTCTTGTTGATTGGGTGCAAATTCCTTCTTGACCATTGTAGAATCTAGCTGTGGCAGACATGAAGTAATCAGGCTCTTTATCATAGTGAACATACCGACATTGGAAATATGTTTCTATAGTTTGTCAAGTTGGTCCTGTATTTGGCTATCTGTAGTTTAAAATCACTCAGCAACCTGCAATTGCACTGTGTTGATATGCAACTAGGATTATTTTTGAAGGTTCTTTTAAAATATTTTAAAATCTTTATACAGCAGTTGCTACAGTTAATCATCAGAGACCATTGTTGAGCTTTAGTGCTTGAATTTATCTGCTTGCATGACATCAGCCTATGATTATTGATTTAGGTTTCTATGAAAACGGAAGTCAACTGGGTACGTGATATGCTACGTGGAGATGATGCCTATGAGCTAAGAGTAAAGCTTTTGAAGCAAGTTCCAGAGGAGTACCCATACAAAGATGACGAATAGAAGTACTGCAGCTCTAGTAATTTTATTTTAAAATTGCAGCTCTAGTAAGTGATGGGTTCATCACTGCAGAGTTCACATTTTGGCATATTTCCTTGTTAAACTTTCCAAGTGATGTACTTGTTTAACAGAAAATAGATTTTGTTCATCAACTTGGAGTGGCAGAAAATCTCCTTACATCATGCAACTTGCAACAATGGATGAAATGGTATTAATGATGCAGGCCACAAATATGCCATATGGTGGCTAGGATTGCGAGTCTCCACATTGAGCTCTATTGAGTGAACAAGGGAGTAGACGAGGGTAGGCATCACTAGTGAACAGGGAGTTGACAATAATTCGAACATTCCAATGATGCAAGACCACAAGTCTATAGAACAAGGACAAAATGCTAAAATCACCCTTGAACTCCTCATTTTATTTGCAGAAGAGCCATATATTGGGTATTATCATTCCCTGTGCCAGATGGTTGACGGTGAGCACCTTCTCTAATACTGCCGGCCATGAAAAAGCTTGAATCTTGTGTATTCTTAGAATAGATCGTATTGAGTGTGTCATATTGATTGTATCATTGTGTTCAATAGTTCCTGACTGGATGACCCACAAGCAGAGCATAACAGGACCTACAGAGAACTTTCCTTGGGTATCTGGTTCCTAAGCAAGAGAGTCTTCATTTGATAGATGGTAATAGAACTCGAAAATCTCCTCGTGTAAACGAATGAAGGCCCCTAATTCCTGATCACTCCTAGTAAGTGTGAACCTAATGCATCAGGATGGATTAGGAGGGCATACAATTTTGAAAAACCTTTCATAGAGAGGGCATTCACCAGTCCACCAATATGTTGGGGTTTCTAGCCTTTAAAGGCCTAGGCACCATTATATTCAAACTCATTATTAGTGAGATGTTTTGTTCCCAATGGGTGCATAGTTCTCAAGGGGATCAGGATGTGACTTAGGCCCACCAAGGGGAGGTGAGTTAAGCTCGCCAGTGTGTGTAGTTGCAGCTATCTGACTCACCTTGGTTGAGCAGTCTAGGTACGGTGAGAAAAGACTCAACCTTTTGACCCTGAGTATTCCTTTGTCTAGGTTGTAGAGATGCCAAGTAGTGGTTGGCAGAGGAAGATACTCTCATGTGTAGGTTGGTGGCTTTTGCGGAAAAGGGCCAAAGCGACATACCTCTTGCATGATATATGCATGTCATAGTCACTCTGTTAGGAAGCCATTTTGGGGAGGAGGTGCACGTGCCAAAGAGAGGACCCATGCCTTTGAGTTGCGGTACATATTCCCAAAATGGTGTAAACATGTAACCCATGTGCGATTTTCATAGTCCCAGTACCTCTTTACTGGCTTTGATGTACAGAGCATGAGCCGTTGCCTGTACGACTATGTGTCATGGGTTCTGTTGGTTTGTCTGAGAATGTGATTCAAGGATTACGGGTATAGGGTGAGTGAACTGCCTTACTATAAGTGCGAAATTTAAAAGCGAGGTGCCAATTCGCTTTTAATGATTTATTTCTTGAGTTTAAGATCTTTGGTTTTCATAAAGGAATTAAAAAATTCCTTTTGGGAATTTGTTTTATTCTTATAAAATTATTTTGACAAGGAAAAACATGGAAAACAAACAAATTATGAAATGATAATTCAGGATGCACATGTGGGCTGATGGTGCATGTGGAGGCCCAATAGCCAAGGGCCTTCACATGGGCCTATAGGGGCCCACATCAGGACCTATTAAGGGACCCACAACCACCCACAAGCTGGCCATAGTGATGACATCAACTTCTGGTTTCCCTCTCTCCTCATGTGACAAAGTCCGAGTATGTATAGTTCTGTAGTTTGGTTTAAAGGGGGTTGCATACCGCAAGATCTTTTGAACACATGTAAAGTAAGCTTTGAGTGCTGGGGATACAAGTCACTAAAAATATTTGAACACATGACAAGTTAGAGGTAGTCAAGGAAGATATCTTCTCTCTCCTCTTTTCATAAGGTTGAAAGGAGGGACTGTGATATGAGACAAACCCATAGGGAGAACGCCCGACCTCTTTCTCACTCTATTTACTCTTATACAAGCTTGATAACTCTTTCTCTCTAAGTTATCTAGAAGCTCAAATTGAACTTAATTGAATTTGAAAGTTACTATTCTAAATTGAAATGAAATTTAATTCGAAAGAAAATTACCGTTAAGAATAGCTAATCATGAAGGCGTATATCTAAACCTTGATCATGATAGCGGCACAAGAGAATCGATAGCTTGATTCCAAACCTTTCTACACCCCATAGATCACAATGATCAATGAGTCATAGTACTCTTCCCTTAAAAAAAACATATTAGTGATGATTAGACCCCGGACTAACCCTAATTCTTATCTAATAGAATTCATGGGAGAGCCCCATTTGGCATTAGTCTCTACCATGCTAAACCTCTACCAAACTTGAGCTAGAGCATCTCCTTAGCCTTCATACCCTACTTTGGATTCCATTTTTGTCTCACCAATGGCCTATTGGTATAGAGTTCATATTGAGTTTTAGTTAAGCCCTCTTTCATGCCATCCACTAGTTCCATTGTGCCTATCTCACAAAGGGCTAAAAGCTGCCCTAGTCTCCATAGACTCCATGCCAGTTTCAGATCTTAGCCCCATTTCTCCCCTTGAATTAGCTACCATTTTGCCCCCTATGGAGCTTCAATGCTAAGCTTACTATGTACCTCATAATGCACTTCATTTGCTTGGTTGGTTGAGGTCATTTTGGCCACCATTCTTCCCACTAAGTGGCACACCAAAGCCAAGGAGTAGCAGCCCACTTTGATATCATTTTTATCAGCCCTTTGCATGCTATTGGATGCTTGGTTACGGCATCATCTTGGAGCATCCCACCAAATTGAGAAAGGGCCTTGAGCCATGCGCTATTGGTTCATGTGATCTGCCATATGGGGCGTATGAAGACCCGTAGAGTTAGTCTTTGGAGAAAATAGTTTCATTTGACTTCCTATGATTCTCAAGCTGTTGTGTTTGATTTTATGTTTGTGAGATTGCAATTGTGTCCATGTATTGATGTTATGGCCACGTTCTATGTGATTAGTTGCATGCACTAGTTGTACTACCGACATTGTCAAGTGTATATTTTCTTGTAATTGCAATCTCTACTTTGTAATAGAATGGTAAAGAAGTGTTGGAGCAACCAAGAGTGTATCCTTGGCCTTTAATTGTACTGGAGTTATAATTGAGTTTAATTTGGTTCTCAAGTGAAGTTTATGCTACTGGTTTTGTATGTAATTGGCAAGTGGTAGTAGATTTGCTGCGGTTCTAGATTGAAAAGTTTTAAAGTTCACCTCAGGCAAGGCCTACAGGCCATTCTAACAATCTAGACCCAGAATCTTGAGCCACTTCCATTGCCCCCATTAAATGTGTTGTATTTCTTATGAAGACATCTCAATAACTATTTGATGGCCTCCGTAACCCCAACATCCTTGTGTTGTGATGGCTCCAGTGGGATGTGATGGCTCCAGTGTTGTACTAGAAATTTCTTATATAGTGATGTACTAAAAATTTCTTATATAGTGATGCGATGGCTGTAGTGGGAGTATGGCATGTATGGACTTTGTGACATTTCTAATGTCATGATTCACCTGAGTTTTGACTGGTTAGGCTCGGGTTGATGCCTATAACCCTTATTCCTATACTTGTAGCACAATTGAAGCCTGGGTATGGAGAAAATAATTCCATTGTTGAAGCTTTGGCTAAAGGAGTATAGGTGCAAGAGCTGACAATAATTTCAGATGGACAAGTTACAAGGGACTCTTAGTTACGGGTATGGGGATGAGTGTAAATATGTAAATATGTGTGGGATGGATAGAAGTTTAATTTGTATATATGTGTAAGTCGTTACAAGCTATATAACTGCGACTTTGAATTAAGAAGTTCTTTTGTTTTTTTTTAATGTTAACTACTAATTTCATTATTTAAAATAGCAAAGCTTTATAAGCAGCATAGTAAAAAGAGAAGAAGAAGAAGAAATAAAAGAATACAAGTAGTACCCCTACTTCCAGGGATGACCGCCTTGACTTCATCAACTCCTATGAACTCAACTAAACCACACAGAACAATTTCCAAAGACATCCCTCACAATAACCTAGACTGCCTTACCTAAGATACAAAGACACCCCATAATGCACCTTCCCTTTTATAATCACCTCATCGATCGGGGTTAGGACGGTGCATAACATGCACTGGAATAATGCACAAAAGAAAAACAAGAATAGCATATAACGGCATATAGGAGGGTGGCGGTACCACATAACCGGCGACTAAATGTCGGATTGACTCGTGAAGGAAAATATGAAAAAGGAAGCACCATAAAGTGAAAGGGCTGAATTGAAGAGAAGGCGAGGGGATAAAAAAACCACAAATCACTCATCCGAAGCACGCTCTAGCTTTGACAACTTCCTAAACAATATTATTTGGCTACACAGAAATTTAAACCCCCGTCAGAGAGCTTGAGAAACCTCAACAAAGCTCATCCACTGATGAGCCAAGCTCCATCTTAGGCATTAACCTATATGACCAAATAAATGGGGGCGTTGAAGCCCTTAAAGGAGACCTCAAAGGCTCGAGCAACCCCACAACAGGATACTGAACCCCCAAAAGAGGAGAAACCTATCGTAGGCGCTAATAATTTTGAGGAGTGAGTGAACGACTCCTTACTGATAAAAGAAAGATGATGAGAGGTAAAGGAGAGAGGACAAAAGCTAAGGTGGGGTCATCGACAAAATGTGAAGGAGCAAAAGAAAGTGGAGTACAAAAGGGGTTGGATGGTGGAAGGATTAAAGCGAAGAGGCAAAGTGGGGTTTAGAAACCACATACCTTCCACCCGAAGCATGCTCCAGCTTTGACAACTCCCTAAATAAATAGTATTTGGCTACACAGAATTTCAAACCCCTAAAAGAGAGCTTGAAAAACCACGATAGAGCTCACCCTGAGCCAAGTCCCATCTTAAGTGTTAATCTATATGGCCGTATACATGAGGCGTCGAAACCCCAAAAGGAGACCCCAAATGCCCAAGAAACCCCATGATAGGATATTAAGTGCCAAAAAAAGGTGAAACCCATATTAGGCACTAACAATTTTGGGGAGAAGAGTGTCAAGGTAAGGGAGAGAGGACAAAGCCATGGTGGGGTCATCGATGA